CCTCTACTAAAGGCAAGAAGGTTCTAGAAAGTAAAAGGACTGACAAGTGGAGTGTCACCTTACAGAGCTAGAAGTGACAATAAATAGAGGTTTTGTTGATAGGAGAAAACTTATTACCCACCTTCTCACATACTGTCTTGTACTCTCTTAAAGTGTCTACTGTTTTTCATGGTTTTCTTGAGTAATTTTGCCTATCTCAGTTTGACCTTAAATTTCTGGTAGCACAATGTTACCTGGGCATCTGATTGGTTGTCATGAAATATATTAGTAACTAAATATAAACAAGCTCCTATTGGTCACCTCACATGTTCTGATAATGTTATTGGTAATAGAAAGAGTTGATTGGTACCCTGTGTTCACCCCACTTCTTCAATTGGATTAACCTACAGATCAAGTTCCATGAGACCAATAAGATACGAACAACAAGTCTATAGGTGATAAAAAAGCTGCTATTCGTTTAAGCTGAGGTCTTTCTCTCCTATCATTTTGATCAGGTAAAGTTCAAGACCAAGATCTCCTTTTTATCCCAGTCAGGCAATAAGATTGAATGGTCTCTAGTCTATGCTAAGCTTCAATCCTTTGATTATAATTAAGAATGCATTTTCCCAGAAGTTGTTAAAGGATAGTGCAATCGATGAGGATTCCTACTGCTTTTCTGGTATTCTCCCACTATTGTGAAGTAAAAAAATCTTTGGAAAAAAATTATTTTGGACAATAAAAGATATACATCAATAAAATTCCTTTAACTAGGTGTGGCTGCTGGAAAGTATAATATTGAAAAAACACAATCCAATCTCTATTAGGTTACATAAAAACCTGGGGTCCATTATAAGTCACCCTCCTATTGCAGGTGGATAAAAAATTACTGCTCAAAGAAGGTTGGGACTAAGTATGTTCTGGAAGTAAAGGCTCCTACTAGGTGATAAGTCTCCTTAAATAATACATAAGAAGAAAATTAAGATCAAAAATGGTTAAGTTTCTCAGACAGTCAGAAAAAGAAAGGATATCCCAATCGGGTATTTTTTATTGAAAAAAGATCTTGAAAAGCAGGTTTTTGGAGGAAGCTAGAAATATTTTTTCCATTTTTTACTCTTTCATTTTCTTGTGATCTGTTTAGATATTTTTAGATATCCCCTTCCCTTTTTTTAACCATCTTTTTATAGTTTTCTGTATTCCAGTGGCTTGGTCAGATATACGACAGTGACAATCTGTTGACAAGGATGTAGTGGACTAGAAGGGTCTTTACTCAAAGACACTACGAAGCAAAATATTGTCTTTAAGGCTGAACTTAGAGATTTTTATGCTTATGATGAGTTTGTTAGATTAGAAGAATAGTTTAGTTGTAGTATGTATTATGCTACTTGAATGAAAAAGTACTTATGTTTTTAATTGATTAATAAACTCACAATCTAACCTGGCTATAAGTACTCAAAAAAAAAATTAAATTTTATTGCTGTTAGTTATATTTTATCATAAAGAAAATTTGTTTTTGTCTTTTTTTTTTTTTTTTTTAAACCCTCTGTCAGGCTAGTTATGTGTGCTTTATTAAACAATTGTAAGCTGTACATATAGTATAAATCGCTAAAACTAAAACTTTAACTAGCTCACTCGTCTCAGTAATTATTCTAAGTGCAACTTTGGGAGTGATTTTTTGCTCTATTAAAAGTTCAGGTGAAGACCCTTCCAACTTTTAATATCATTGCCTGCAGGTTACTGTTGCAGAATTTATTTTTGTCTTTTATATTGTTTATTATATATAAAAAATTAAAAATATTTTATTTTTTAATAAATTATATGTTATATTAAAGTTACTTATTATTATTACAGTATATAAAAATCTTGTTTATACTTTTTTTTAATAAAATTTATTAGTTTTTTTTTTGTATTTTTATATTTTCTAAATTTTTTTATTTATTTAATAAAATATAAATTTATATAATATAATTTTTTATAATAAAGTTTATTGTTATTATATCTCTTTTTATTTTTTCGACTAATACTTAATAATGAATCTTTAAAGTATTTAGTATATAAAATTTTATTAATTCCTATATTTTTTTTTGAAAAAAAAAAAACTTGTTACTTTGATAGAAACAAAAATCAGAAAATATTATAAATTAAATATTTTGATAATAAAGAATTATTTCATATGATTTTTTTATAATCGTTAATTTAAAATTTTAATGTTTTCTAGTAAAAAATATTTGATTTTTGTTTTTATTTCTTTCTTTAGAAACTTATCTTTATTAATACTACCCTTTTTAAAAAAATTTTTGCAATATACTTTAAATAATATCTTTTTATTAATATTATAAAAGTGTTTGTATTGTGTTTAATTATTAAAAATCTATAATATTTGTTATTAGTATTAGTTGACTTAATCTTATATAATCATAATATTTTTACAGTACCTCTTACTTTTATATTTTTTTGTAAAATTATATTGATTTTTTTTTATTTGTAATATTTTTAATTTTATATATATTTATTATTTACAAATTGTTAATTGCCAAATATTTTTATTGCAAAAATAGTAATATGCTAGGTGATGACAATTAAAAAAGGTTCATTGATATTTTTATTTCTAAATTTAATCAAATTTGACAATAATTTAACTGTCAAAGGACATAATTTTGACTAGTATTAGATATAAATATGAGTTAATTACTTTATAAAAGTTTGTAAATTAATATAGGTTTTATTTTAATTTCTCAATAAAGACAAACCATTGTGACATGATTGTGAATTAGCAAAAAAAATTAAGTAATACAATTTAAAGTAAACAATATCAATACATACTGTATATAATTTGTAATTCTAATCAAGTGATCAATAAGTTTACCTTTATTATTTCTAATTTTTATTTTACATAAGAAGATTGTGATTCATTATCAATCAAACAATTTTGAGATACGCATTCACTAATAGTTGTTGATGTTTATGGAAATACTATGACAGCTGCAAATGTTTGATAAAATGCCATAAAAGAAATACTTAATTGGTTGATGTCATTGTTGGGCATGATCAACAAAAACAATTAGATCTTATCAATGGAGTAATACCAGCACAAAAAAGATTATCTTTGCAAATTAAAACTGGTTCAATAGAACCATGGTGGTGGATTGAATTTAGAAAAGAATGAACGTATATTAAGTACAAATGATGGACAGCAAAGCAGAATATTTAAGTATACAAAAGGCAAAGGAAAATGAATTAGTAATATGAAAGCAACTGAAATAACGAGTTTATACCTTGCTGAAATATCACGCTAAATTTGTAGCTGTCCCACATTTTCCAGAAATCGTTTTTTACTTTGTAAGCACCTGGTTCGACAATAATATTAGGGCTATTGAGATAGATAATGATCCAGAAGAAAAATTCGTACTTAGGTAGAGTCGGATTGATCACTATTTGAATCAGCAATCAAACGAATCCGGTTTGAAAAGTTTATTAATAATTGGCGCCAAGTTCATGCAATAATAGAATGATGCCTATGGAAAAAGAAATACAAGCAGCAGAAAAACGAATATGTCAAGAAGTAATTCAAGTACCAACAATTCAAAAATCATGCTTATCGCACTCATCTCATTTAGAAATGACTTCAATAGAAACACACACACACATATATACTGTATATATCTAAAAATAGAAAATACAGAGACAATAGTTGTAAAAGATAGCGAGTAAAAAAATAACCTATTACTTTTTCGTTAGAAACCAGTTATCATCACCGTATAGTTACTAAAAATACAGTATGTTGCATTGCATTATAGCATATTGCATTAAACAATTGTCTATCAAGGGGGTCCATTTTAAAAAGGGATTGTCACGGGATGGAACTTTTGGTGGCCGCCCTGGTTGACTCACAAAAGAGAGCAGTAGATGAATGAATAGTAAGCACGAAATAATAGAAAAGTTAACACCATTCGCGTAAAGTTTAATTTATATCACGTGGTATCACATTACCCACTAAGAGGACACAACAAACTTTTTTTGAAACACCTTTGATTCACTGATTCACCCTCTCATCGAACATGCAGCATATCGATATAATGATTACCCTCGTCATTAAGCCGCAAAGAGAATGAACATCCTTATCTATTACCATCGTTTGAACGTCAGTGTTTTCTCGATATCATTCCGATAAAGAACGAGAAAAAAAAAAAAAAGAGTTGAAGATCTTTGATGTTAAAAGGTATCGCGGGGATAAGGGGGGGTGCCAAGACCACGAAATCTGTGCTCATCGTGACGTGGAAATCTTGTCAAACAAAGAACATAGACGACCGACTATAATCATTCATTCATTCGTTATTGTATTTATATAGTAGCGTCCAACTTATCATGTGAAAGATCTGGTCACCAACAATAAAGGTTTTGAATAGGCGATAAGGAGTGTCAATACGTGTGGTTAGAGGTATAATTCCAAAATCAGCATGCGTCAAACGAACACCATTCATCATGTCAATCGGAGCTAGATTGGTAAACACAAGAATATTGTTTCAGATCAATATATTGTGGTGTACACAATCAGCTATAATTCCGTGTATATGTGCTTTTCCGTACGGAACATTTCTATTCGTGTGCGATCGGCCGACTTTGACCAAAGTTTGATGTTTGTTTAATCATGCGACAACTCACACATTTGATAAATGCCCACATGAATTCCATTAATACATGCCTGGTTCCTGATTAGGCACGTACGTAGGTACTGTACTTTGTCTTTTAAAACTTGGTTGTCATTTCAATACTATCGGACAAAATGTTGAGTCTACTTGCGAATGAATTGCAAATTCAAATTTTAATGGAAGTCTTGTTTCAAACCAAGTAAGTAAATCATTTTTCCGGTTAAATTGGTAGCACTCACGAAACACTGTTTAATCGCGTCCACTCGATATACCGCTCACTTTCCATCCAAGAGTAGCTTCAGGAGTCTTTATAATCTACGAACGGTTTGTAAAAGATGGAATGCGTTATTTCCGGTGATACTTAACTACGTTCTTATGGATAGATTGGTCAATGATTTTAAATTTGAGGTATCATATCATCTCTCCTGATGTTTAAAAATATCATAAAAAGGCGACCATCAATAACCTTCGCTCTGTCTATCTATCTTCGTTTATTTAGTTTTATCCGAACTGGCAAAACTTAAGCATCGATACCAGAAAACACTGTCATTACTCCGACGAGACAAAATGTGTGACGCTTTATTTCGCCGCCAACGGATACCCACTTACCGAATTCAACTTTGTAGGCCAGTCGATTTTTTATATTCATAAAAGAGACAACGCACTAAAAATTGGTTATTCCATCGGAAATGTCAAGTGGCCATGCGATGAATTTCTGGAAGATTCAGAGCATGAGGTGGGATTGTACAATACTCGTAAATCTCGTTTCCACGTCTTTAACAAAATCACCGAAACGTGGAGAAAGATAAGTCGGAGGAGAAACCGGAAGAGATCGGTTAATAGAATTTGTCATAAGTTTGAAGCAAAACTTGTGCACGTAATTAGACAACCGAGCGAATATAAACTCAATGCTTTTTACGACGACTGCGATCGCAAAGATCGGGTGGGTCATCCACGTAAGTTGAGCATGATCCCATTAGACGAGAGGAAAGAATGTTTTCAACTGTCTTTACTGAGAATCCAGGCTTGGAAGCTTTGTTATATGATAGATTTGATATCAAAATTACCATTTCAAGTTTAATAATTGTATATTTACAAAACAACCCATTCTTATTATTTTCTTTTTCTTCTTTTTCTAATTTAATGTTCGATTCTCTCGACATTAAACTGTTGGTGGCGATTAAAAATCTTCACACCCATCGAATGATGAGTGCACTGTAGAAATTTTTTCATTTAACGTGTGTTAGATTAAAAATAAAAAAAAATATAATAATAATAAAAAAAGAAAAAAAAAAAAAAATTCAAAAAGGGGAAATGAAAATTATCAATATGTGCGTTCGTGTGCATCCTTATCGTTATCAAAGGGGTAATCCGAATATCGGCCCATAAATGTCCGTGTTTTTTCCTTTGTCATTCCCAAAACCATCCCAGAAGGTTTGAAAGAATCTGCCACAAAGAACTGGTTTAATTATACGGGATTACCATCACGGTTACTTGTTAATAAATACATATTTGTCACCCCATCTCATTCAATCTGCTCCTGCTATTCGCACACACGATTATCTATATCAGGTTTTTATTTTTTACGTAATAATAATAATATACAAATATACAGATAACTGAGGTGGTAGTTTTCGGGTACTTATTCCTTAATTCTCATTTGCTATTCAAAGGATTTTAGAGTTATACTACAGTGATAGAAAAAATTTATATTTGTATAACATACTGACACTTTCTGGTTTCTTTGTTACTGTGCAAATCTTAAATTTATTTTTAATTATTCTTTACTGATATAGTATTGCAACACAAGAGATAGTGCGTACTGCAAAGAAAGGCGTGTCCGATGATCAGATTATATACAGTATTTAATGGCGTATAATAAAGATATAATGATAGAGCTGTTTTGGTTTTTTTTTTTTTTTATTTGATTATTAGATGACTTTCTATATATGACATCATTAATAAGTTAAAAAAAACTCTAAAGTAATATTATACTAATTCTTATTAATAATATAATTATAAATTGCCGTCATGGCGTGAACATAATTATAAATTACATATGAATATTTTTAACAAATAATTACTATTTAAAGAAATATACTTATATTTTTTTTAAAAAAAAAATATTTGTTAATAATAAATTACAGTATATCTGATATTTATTAATAATTAATTAAAAGTAATTATAAAATCTTTGATAAATTTAAAAAACTTAAAAATAGTATAATCACAAATTATTTATTTATTTTTTGTTTATTAAACGTTTTAAAATAATATATTTATTTAAAATTTCAACTTATTAAATTTTAATTTAATAAATAAATATATATTTTTTTTAAATTATAAATAATTTTTTGAAAAATTTGATTAAATTATAAAATATAATTCTAGTTATATAAAATCTATTTCTTTCTAAAATTAATAAATAAAATATTTTATTAATACTAATTAAAAAATATTTATTTGACATAATATTGTTTGTATAATATTCATCAAAAATAAATAATTCAATAAATTGATGCATAATAATATTCATCAAAAATAAATAATTCAATAAATTGATGCATAATAATATTCATCAAAAATAAATAATTCAACAAATTGATGCATAAATAAATTATCAATCAATTTTTCCTATATAATTTAATATCATTTATCATATAATTTGATATAAATAAATCATTATTATTTTTATATATATTTCATTTAAAAAATTGTTATTTATTATTTTAACATGCTTCAAAATTTTAATTTTATTAAAATTCATATATTTATCAAATTTTTATTATATATTATATTTATTATTTAAAAAAACTATAGTTAAATATTCATAAAAATTTTATCAATTTAATATTCTATACCTAAATAAAATAAATTGATCAAAAATATTAATATTTATATTATTTTTAAATTCAAAATAAAATTTATTTTCTATAAAATTAACAAGTTTATATGATTAAATAAAAATTAATTAATATTTATTAATATTATTTAAGAAATTTACTGGATGTATAAAAAAGAATTAAACTTGTTTAGATATAAATTGATGTTTTCATTATAATTTATAAATTAGTTTAATATAAATAAATTCTTAATATTTGGTAAAAGTTCAATAGAATCAAATATTTTATTTTCAATTTAATATTTATCATCTTGGTTTATATTATTTTAAATAATTATTGAATTTTTATTGTCTTTTATAAATAAACTTTTATAAAATATTTTATAGTATTTGATTAATAAATTTAATATTTTAATAAATATCTCTAAATTTAATTTTTTAAAATACAAGAGTTTATTTAAAAAATATTTAAATCTATTGATAATTGTTTTGTGAATATTATATAAATTGCTTAAAAAAAATAAATATAACTCATCAATAAAAAACTAATTTAGTTTAAAATTTAAAAAAATATTTGATCAATTATTTAAAAATTTAAATCTTAATTATTAGAATAAAATATAATTAAATTAAAATTTGATGATTATTTATTGATTTTCATTAATTTTTATATTAATTTGAATTCAATATTTCTATAGTTATTATATAATAAATCTAAATTAAAAATTTATTAAAAATTTATTTTTAAATATTGAATTTATTCAAAAATCTATCTCATATATTATTTATATTCTCAAATAAAAAGTGTAAAAATATATATAATAGTCTATAATTATATATGTATTTATATAAATATAATAAAAAATAAAGATTTTTTTTTTCATATTTTTATTTGATTAGTTTATTTATTATGACTAGTTTTTTATAAACTTTATTTTATAGATTTCATCTTAAAATTTAATATATTTAAATTTAACAAAATTTAATAAAATTTTTTAAAATTGATAATTCATGTTTGAAAAATATTTTTATAAAAAAATAGTTATATGTATTATAAAAAATTTCTTTACTAATTGATAATAAAGTTTGAAAACCCTTTACTACTATTTATTTTTTTTAAAATTCAACCAATATCTAATAGCAATAAAATATTTTTATTATTTTATTTAATATATTATTTATTGATATTTTTTTTTAATTTAATTTAATTTTTTTTTTTAAACCCATAGTTAGGCCAGCATAGTGTATTTATTAATCTTTAAGAAAACTGATGGAGATACATTGGGTAATTATATCATGGCTAAACTAAATCTCATACTAACTCACTTGTCAACAGCTTTCAATTCTCAAATGAGCTTAAGCCTCTAGGTGTGACCTTGAGAACAATATTTTGCTCTGAAATAAGTTTTGGGTAAAAACCCTCCTAACTTATTCATCATTGCTGGCAAGTTGTCACTGCCTATTATCCTTCAAGGAACTGATTTCGAGAAACTACAATAGGAAAAAAAGAAAAGAAAAGAAAGGGGGATATCTAAAAATACACAAATGTGTATACATGAAGAGAAAAAGAAAAAAGAAAAATAAAAGTGCTCCATGTCCTCCAAAAAACCTTTGCTAAAAACCTTCTCTCATTAGGAACAATTCTTCTGAAATATTCTTCTTCTTCCTAACTATCTAAGGAACTTATCCATTTATAATCTTGATTATTTTCTTGCAACCATCTGAGGTACTTATCATCTACTTGGATCCAGTGTCTTGCTTGTCACTTTCTTTCTTTTGGTATTGATTTTATATCCATGTACACAGACCTTTATGACTTATAATAGACCCCAGGTTCTTATATAATCTTTCAGTTATATTGTGTAACTATCGATATCTTATAGCAACCACATCTAGTTAAAAAAATTTTACTGATGAGTATTTTCCATTGCCCAAAAATCAGATTTCTCAACAGTCTTTTTGCCTTGCAATGGTGAGAGGGTTTCATAGAGTATGGGAATCCTCGTCGATTATGATATTATTATACAATGTCTGAAAAATACATTCTCAATCTTAGAGAAGGGTAGTGGCTTACAGTCTTCTACTTTTCAGACTTATTGCCTGACCGGGATAAGAAAACAACTTCTTTCGTGTATTTTGCCTGACTGGGATGATAAGAAGTTGAAGATCTCAGCTTGAACAAATAACTGCCTTTTCACCACTTAGGGAATTTAGTGCTTATCATAATGGCCTCATAATTTCTTTGCATTGATTACACTTCATTTGAAGGAGTGGAGAATTCACACTAATAGATTCTCTTTCTTTCACCAATGACATTATTGAAACACATGAAATGACCAATGGGAACATGTTTACATTCAACTACTAACATGTTTCGTGTTCACCAATCATATTTAGCCTAAATTGTGTCACTTAAAATTTAGGGTTAAACTGAGGTAAGCAAAATTCCCCAGAAAACCAAAAAATTTTGAGTGACTATAAGAGGGAAGATATAGTGGACAAACACCTTGAAATATGACTTGATATTTGCCACCTCCCACTGCTAGAAATTTCTATAGACATGCTTCAATATGAAAGGTTTCAAGTATTATACTATTGGTTTTTCTTTCTTATAGAACTTTCTTGCCATTGATAGAAAAGATATTTTTTGACTTTTCTAGATTATAGGAAGCCAAGTTTTTGTTTGAAAATGAATATAAACAAGAGAAAGGGTTTGAGAATATCTCTTGAAGTAAAACTTCAAGTTGGTTTAAGGATAGTGTTAAGACTTTATTAGCAAAGAAATATAAAATTTCTTGCAAATATCTTTTCTATATATGAACAAAGGATCAATGGAAAGAGTTTTTTTACATACAGTATATATATATTTTTTTTTTAATTTATATTTGTTTAATAAACTATTTATTAATACCTAAAAAAAAATAGTATATAAAATTAATAATTAAATATTGAATTGAGATTGAAAACAATCCAATAAGATTATTATTAACAAAATATT